CCTCCTCTACCCAACCCCCATGGCCTTGTCTCTCGAATCTGCCCGGAGCAGCTCGAATGTTAAATCGAAGGTTTCCGACCAAGGCCCTAAGGCAAAATCTCCATGATTTCGGACCCTAACAACCCTAACCATATGTTTTCTTATGAAAACACATGGTTAGGGATGTTACGGGTCAGAAATTTCGGGGGATTTGGAGAAGCAACCACCGGCCGGAGCTCTTTGTAGTTGGTGAATTCTTAGCGGTATTTCCTTTTACTTTCAATTTCTTTTTCCTTTCTGACCTTGCTGTTATTGTGAATTTCATGGTCAATGTCTAGTTTAATTTGTGTTTTAAATTTTTGAGGTATATTCAGAGCTTAAGAAACTGTCTTGGTTATAGCTGTAGTTTTAGCTTAATATTCAGGGGTAGTTTAGACATTTAGGATGGGGCAGCACATGGTAGTTGAAACTAGAATCTTCTAGGGCCTTCTAGGGTGGTACTTTAGTGTAGATTTCAATAATTTTAGTGGGATTACTAGAGTAACAAGTTAGAAAATAAGGGACTAACTAAATAAAATAAGAGGGACCTATGGTGCAATTAATAGATTTCAAGGCTGCCCATTTGTGCCTATAAAAGGGCAATGCCTTTGCCTTGAAGGGGCAGTATTTTTTGGCCACCAAAATTTCCCCAAAAACAGTACTCTTCCAGTTTCAGATCTAGAATTCAAATTTCAGATCCAAATTTGCTTCTAGCTCTTAGTTCTTCAAAAAAATATAAAAACAAACAAAATCCAGTAGCAACCAAAAATAAATACTCTTTTATTCAATTTTCTAGCTGAATTCTAGTTTTGGTAGCTGAATTACATTCCTGAGTTCATTTTTGGTAATTTGAAAATTCAGAGAGTTTTCTGTTGGATTTCGAGTAATTGTGAGAGTTCATTCAATCTGTTTTGGCCAGTTTAATTGGGTTTTCTGATTGCTGAAGTTGTCTCCAAAGTATACTGTTGTGATTTCGAATAGTTGTAGGCATAATTGAACTAGTTTTATTGAAGTTTTGGGTTAATGAAGGTTGTAGAGGGTGCTGGTTTCATTTGTGTTGGTTTTGGTGCTATTTTGGTTGATTGGCTGTTTGTGTTTGGTTTTAAGTCACTTCTGGGATGCTGAATTTTCTGGATTGCACCTGATTACTGCCGCTGATTTCCTCTTCTTCTTCTTACATTTCATATCCAGGTACACATTTTGAAATCACTGATGTAGCTTTCAATTGGATTGAAATGAAGTAATGTTCCAGATTCGTGTTCATTCGAGTAGTTGAAATCAGTCCAAATGACATTTAGTTGTCTAGCTTTAATTTGTTTGAGTTGCAATGGTTGTTAGTTGTTTAATTAGGATTGTCTGTTTAAGGATTGATTTGGAGTGTTTAATTTGTGCTGGACTGTATAATTGAGACTGTCTTAGGCGATTGGAACTGTTTTGGCTATCATTTTTGTAATAGACTGATAATCAGCCCAGAGAATCGGTGTGCAATAGTTAGACTTGGAACGACATTACTTGTAGTCAATTTAGTTCATTCCCTTAGTTTAAACGCTTGGAACCAGAGCATAATCCGAGTTGGACATTGATTCAGGAATTGTGCATTTGTAGCAATGATCTAGTGTTCGAACTGTTAAGAGTAAGAACATAAACATCAGTTGTAGTGTTAATAATTCCAGGCTTGATATCACATCTGTATGCAACTAGATCCCCGTTAATATAAAGTTAAACTCGAAACCAGTTGTGATTTGGTATTGATACACCAGTAGAGTCATAGTTTAGTGTCAAGCGTATTGTTCTGCGTTACTGGCCTAACTCATACATAGAAATCTGTAGGCTGTAATTTCAAGTATATTAGTTTAATTGGTTTAACCCGTTCAGACATTCGAGCCAATGAGATGCAAATGTTACTAAATTGAAAATTGGTTGGGTGCTCTAAAGATGTTGATTTTGTTATGCATTAAAGCCACATGCTACATATAAAAGAACTTGGGCTCATGTTAAAGGCCCAACACGCGACTGCTTTCTTTGAAGTAAGATTTGGGCCTGAATCCATTTTGGGCTTTGAAATAATAAATGAGACGAGCCTCGCCAAATATAACACACAAATTACGGGGCCCTCAATAAATATTGTATTAATTTTTAGACTTTGGGATGATCCGTTTAGCGAATTTCACAGCCTCCCCAAAATAATAATACGTTAGACTCTTTAGGCGCGATTTTAATAAAAATTACATTCCTAAACTCGGGTGTACATTTATGTGACCCAAATCCAAATCTCAACGGAGTCGAAATGTGTTGACGACCGCGGGTGCATTGATTGCGACGTGGTTTGAGACGCGTTTTCACGACGTTGCAATTCTTTTAAAAATGATAAAAGCGGTTTACGAATAAAAGGCACATAAGCTAGCATGTATTAAAATCAGATAAAATCAAATACAACAGTTAAGCGACCGTGCTAGAACCACGGAACCCGGGAATGACTAGCACCTTCTCCCGGGTTAACAAAATTCCTTATCCGAATTTCTGGTTCGCGGACTGTAATACAGAGTCAGTATTTTCCTCGGTTCAGGATTAAATTGGTGACTTGGGACACCATTAATCACCCAAGTGGCGACTCTGAAATTTTAATAACTAAATCCCGTTCTGATTGTCCTTTAATTGGAAAAACTCCATTATACACCCTTCCGGGGGTGTAGGTAAAAAGGAGGTGTGACAAGTACCAGCAACTACATTTGCATTGATTTCAGATCCTGTATTTCCTGCATTACCAACTTGGACCTGTCTGATTATGTTAACTAGTTCTGAAATTTGTTCCCTGCTAAAAGAGTAATTCTGACTTCCTACTACCCATTCATTGCTAGGATTTGGGTTGGTTTCATTTTCTTGTCCTCCCACTGTTGCATTTCCTTTTGTTGTGGGCTGATAATTGTTGGTTTTAGTAAACTGAAAATCATTCGGGAATCCAATTAGCCTATAGCAATCTGCCCTAACATGTCATGTTCTCATGCAATGAGTGCAGCTCACATTTGGGTTATATTTTGCCTTCTTAGCTTTGCTTTTTTGTTGATGATTGTTTCCAGATTTTGATGAAGGATTCCATCCTCTTTGTCCTTGATTGTTGTACCATAGTCCACCCTTTCCTTATCCAGCAACCATAAATGAAGATGCATCTGAGTTGAGTTGAGGACTGACCATATTCACAAAGGCCTCTCTCTGGTTCTCATCTTGTATGAGCAATGAATAGGCAAAGTCCATTCTAGGGAGTGGACTCATCATGAGAATGTTTCCTCTAGCCCGAGCATATACATCATTGAGCCCCATGAGAAACTGCAGGATCCTTTGATCCTCTAGAAACTTAGCCACTTTAGCCTTTCCACCATATGTACAATCACAAGAGCAATTTAGATGAGAGCTTAGAGAGTCCATTTCATCCCATAGCTTCTTGAGTGTAGTGAAATAGTTTGAAATGCTATTATTTCCTTGAACTGATGTTGAAATTTCCTTTTGCAATTGATATAGTTTGGCCCCTATTTGATTGGCCAAATCTATGTTCTAGACTGTTCCATAAATTTCTTGCTGTTTTGGAATAGATGACATTGTCTCCTATGTCTTTTGACAGAGAATTAAGCAGCCATGAAGTCACCATATCATTAACTCTGCTCCAGAGAGGATGATCTGCTGTGACAGGCTTAGGTTCTTCACAAATCTTATCGATGAAGCCAAGTTTGTTCTTGGCTGAAAGAGTAATGAGAATGGATCTCCTCCAACCTGGGAAACCTCTCCCATCAAAGGACACATTAACAAGACTCATCCCAGGTGAATCTGAAGAGTGAAGAAAGTAGGAATGGTTGGAGTCAAGTTTTTTCATTTGGCTGGTTGAACCAGTAGCAGTGATGGTTGGGGTAGCTTCTGTTCCAGTCATGGATGGAGATAAGAAGAAGAAGAAGAAGAAGAAGAAGAAGAAGAAGAAGAAGAAGAAGAAGAAGAAGAAGAATAAGAAGAAGAAGAATAAGAAGAAGAAGATTAAATTTGAAAGATTGAAGGATCGAGCTAGTATAGCTCTGATACCATGAAAGAATTGGAGAATAGAATTGTAGAAATTTTCTGATGATGTATTCATAGTATCTTGTTTCTCTTTATACAAGTAATCTAGCTAAAAGAAAATGTAAAATAAAATAATGTTGTACACTTGTTCAATTCCTATTACCTAATGCTATAACAGAAGTAAAATATTCCCTAACATGTGCTCTCATATTGTCTTCTGTACAGTTGGATTTGCCATATCAATGGCTCAGATTGGATAGCTTCAAGGGCTGAGATGTTTACACGTGTAAAATCAAACGAGCAAAATAAAATAGATAAAAGAACGACATTTATCTAGAAGAATCCGAAGTCCTTTTGCTATGTCTGAAATCCATCTTCTTCTTCATTTCTGTACAAGATGAAATCTCTTTCATCTTCTTCGTTTCTGCTTCTTCTTCTTGCAATTTATTATGGGGTTTCATCTTAACAACACTGCTTCTCCTCTAGTCCTAGCAACACTGCTTCTCCTATTACCAGCCCTATCACACTCCCTTCTTCCAGTTCATTTGATTTTTCTTCTCCTTCTCCCACTCATAACCTTCCTTGTTCCCCTTCACTTAATGATCTCAGTTCTAGACAAATCTCACATCTATCTCCAAATCTTTCTTCACCCAGATCTGCTCCTAATGATAGTATTACGGTCCCTATATGGCTTGAAGCAGGCCTCTAGACAGTGGTATGCTAGATTAGCAGGTGCACTTAGTTTCAAGGGATATTCAGTTTCTCTAAATAACTATTCTTTATTTTTTAGACACAATGAAGGTCGTATCTCTATTTTAGCAGTTTACGTGGATGATATTCTACTTATAGGGAATGACTTTGCAGAAATCAGTTATATTACTCATTTTCTTAATTCAGAGTTTAAAGTCAAAAACTTGGGGGATATTCACTATTTTTTGGGGATGGAAATTATTAGAGAGCCACAAGGTTTCATCATCAATCAGCGGAAGTTTACCTTAGAATTGTTGGAGGAATTTGGTTTTTCAGGAGTTGTTGTATCTTCACCATTGGATCCTTCTTCCAAATTGCATCTTGACTTGTCACCCCCATTAGCTGACCCTGCTATCTATCGCCGCCTTATTGGTAAGCTTAATTATCTCACAAACACCCGCCCAGACATCTGCTTTGTTGTGTTCACTCTAAGTCAATACATGCAAAAGCCCCAAATGTTGCATCTTTCTGCTGGGATGCTTGTTTTGAGGTATTTGAATACCGATCCAGCACAAAGCATCCTTCTATCTGCAAATCCCTCCCTTGATCTACTTGCTTTTTGCGATGCCGACTGGGCTGCTTGCAAGACTTCTCGCCGATCTGTCAGTGGTTTCTTCATCACTCTAGGGGCGCTCCAATCTCATGGAAATCGAAAAGGCAAGTATCGATTTCACTATCCTCCGCTGAGACAGAATATCGCTCTATGAGGCATGTCACTGCAGAGATAACTTGGCTAGTTCGTCTCCTCACTGATCTCTCTGCTCCTTCTACTTTGCCGGTCACAGTCCACTCAGACAGTCAAGCGGCCATTTACATTGCTCGAAATCCAATTTTCCACGAAAGAACGAAGCATGTGGAACGAGATTTCCACTTCGTCTGGCAACAGTACCTCTCCCGTTTAATCACTCTCTCTTTTCTTCCCTCGAAGCTTTAGCTCGCAGATCTCTTTAAGAAGCCCCTCGCTGAGGTTTCTCACCATCAGATTTTGCCCAAGTTGGGGATTTTCTCTTCACCCTCCAACTTGAGGGGAGATGTTAAGATGAAACCCCATAATAATTTGCAAGAAGAAGAAGCAGAAACGAAGAAGATGCAAGAGATTTCATCTTGTACAGAAATGAAGAAGAAGACGGATTTCAGACATAGTAAAAGGACTTCGGAGTTTTCTAGATAAATGTCGTTCTTTTCTCTATTTTATTTTGCTCATTTGACTTTACACGTGTAAACATCTCAGCCCTTGAAGCTATCCAATCTGAACCATTGATATGACAAATACAACCGTACATAAGAGGGTATGAGAGCACATGTTAGGGAATATTTTAGTTTTTCTGTTATAACATTAGGTAATAGTAATTGAACAAGTGTACAATATTATTTTATTTTACATTTTCTTTTAGCTAGATTACTTGTATAAAGAGAAACAAGATACCGTGAATACATCATCACAAAATTTCTACTATTCTATTCTCCAATTCTTTCACTTTACCCCAAAGTGAGACTTTCCGAAATCGGATACTCGGCCCCAAAGTGACAAAAAAAAGCTCATTTGATCATTGCACTAGTTTATTGGGATTTCTCAAGTTAATCAACCAAAGTGAATGCTGACACCTTGTCCTTTAATCCCCATTTTTCAAGTAAACGACCTTGTGCTTCATCTAGTAGATTGTAAGGTATTGATGATCATTGACTAAACCCCAAGTCTCAACAAAATGTGGAAGCTAAGTGAATCCATTTTGGGGGACAATGAAGAGCAACAAGATAATCTGTTCGGCGAACAAGAAGGGCTCTGCTCTCTTTCCCCTTTACAGGTACTACATTTCATCCATTATTTCCCTCAAAATTTCACTGCCCTTGTACAAGATCCATATTTTTTTTTTCTAAAGGCCCAAATTGATTTATCTTGACTTTTTGGATTTTGATTGGGTGCAGAGAGTCTATGGTTTCGCTGCCTGTCTGCTCGCCGGCTTGGTTTGTATGTTCCTGGTATGACCAGCTTCTCAGTGTCTGTAATCAAACATTTTTCTCTCAGTTCTAATTTATGTACCAAAAAGAATGACACATCTATATTTGTAAACAATTAACTTTACACTTTCCATTTCACCTTTATAACCATACAAATGTTATACCATGTTAAAGACCACAAGGTCTCATTTCTTTCTTAAACTTTGTGCCTAGTCAAACTATGTTACATAAATTGGAATGGAGGAAGTAGTTGTGTGACAAATGCTTTTTATAATAACAATCTCTTCAGCTGTTTATTGTTTTGCCCTTTATTTTGTTTTTGCCTGCAGTCTTTGGTTGTTTTCATCAAGCCCATCAAGTTTGCCCTGTTGTTTACTTTTGGCAACATGTTGGCTATTGGAAGGTATGCCACATTCTGCTCGATATAGAAAATATGAAATATAATGTGTTGGAACTGATTAACCATTCAATTATTATACTAGCCTTTCAGTATCTGGGATAAGATTGTTGGATATCAGCCATGTGTTTGAATTTCGTTCGTCTTACGCATTCTGTGTTTTGAACTTGGATATTCTCACGGCAGCACAGCATTTCTCATTGGACCTGTGCAGCAAATATCAATGATGATGGATCCTGTTCGTGTCTATGCCACAGCCGTTTATGTGGGATGTGTTGTTTTAGCTCTCATTTGTGCACTGCTGGTAAGTGTCTGAGCAACATAGTGGATTATCTATTAGAGTGATCCTCCTCCTAAATAATATCACTAGTTTAGTATCATAGGATGGATATATATTACAGTTCACTTCCTCTGATATACTAGGAAAGTCCAGTACTCTTTTTTCTCTTATTTGCGCTCGTCCTTTTCACTACATTGCGACTCAGCTGCTCTCCTTATTGTTGAAGGATGATAATGCAAAATAATTCATATATTGCTGCTCCAGAGATATCTTCTTCCTTGCCTATTCTCCTTTGCAAGGTGAAGTCTATCATGTAGGAGTTCCAATATCCTTTTTTTCTTAGGTAGATGTGAGATCAGCTAAAGTAATGGCCATCCCCCCC